TGTCACGGAATCAATTTGATCTGTTCATATCATAGATGACATCGTAATGACATTCATTCGCTCATTTGATTAAATCACAGCCAAAGGAATTTTGTTTGAATTGAAAGGGTTCCCATTTCAGGAGTGAATAATTTTTGAGAAAGTTTTTGGCTTTCTGCTACTCCATCTTGATACAAAAATGCGGGAATCTCTTTAAGAAAGGAAGGAAGCAATCAATTTCAAAAGAAAGTAACTCTATACATAGATGTGTAGGTGATGCAAAGAAGTAACTTTCAGACAAAAACTAGGCTTTTTTCCCAGATTGTGTGTGAAAATTATTTCTTTGCATTATCTACACGTCTATGTATAGAGTTACTTCTTTTGAAATTGATTGCTTCCTTCCTTCCCACTTCCCATTTTTTCTCTATCAAGAGGTAGTAGAAAACCACAAACTTTCCATCCCAAAAACATAACCCCTTCAATTTGAGTAATGTGGATTTCTAACTGTAGACGATGACACTCGAGTTTTAACTTATCCCCTTTGTATTTTTTCAGCATGGGATTAACTTTGCATCAACATGGCCATACTCACAGTGGTAGTCACTCTCACGAAGGGTCTAGTAAACAAAACATCAATGTGAGAGCAGCTTTCATTCATGTGCTAGGAGATTTTCTTCAAAGTTTTGGAGTTTTTGTTGCTGCTATTGTTATATATTTCAAGGTGAGTGATATAGTATTGATAAATGGAATATTTTTGGTATGCCACTATGGCTGCCGAAGAATATTCCAAAATATTCCACATATACGATTTCAGAACAGCACAATTCGGCCTGGATGAGTACAGGTTACCTAGGAGGATCAGGAGAACGTCTTCCGGCTGGTGGGAGCAGTTAGTACCTTATAACCACGAGAAGGTATCTTCCTGAAGTGCCTCATAAGAGACCTACTTCCCGAGCGACTTTGTGTTGTTTTCCTATCTCACGAAGACAGTCTTCGACTGGCCGCCAATCGATTCCTTACTAGAATGTTCCGTGGTTAACCTTGTAGTGGATTATTCACGAGAACAATTTAGGCTTTTGTACTAGAGCACATACCCTGTGTCTGTCCCACTGCGGACCGGATCAGGTTTTCAGCGTTTTGTGTATTTTCACTCTTGCCAACTGACTTAAAACTCACCAAATAAAGTAATTAGCTTCATCAAGAAGCCAGATTCACTTGGTCGAGTTTGAATGGGTTTGAGTCACTATAAACACTCGCGGATTGCAGTGGACGATGGCATAGACCCACTCACTTTGGACCTACCTAAACCGTGGTGTGGATAAGTCACACCACGGTGTGACCGATCTATTGAGGGTAGTCACAAATCGACCGCAGATCAGGTAATTTTAGGTTCTGGTATTAGAAAACATTTTCTGTTCTTGCCCCGCTGTTGACCGGATCATGTTTTCAGGGAATGGCAGAGTCGCACTCTTGCCAGCTGTTCTGAAATATCACTCAATGAATAAATGATCGAGTTCGATGAGAAGAGGGATTTATTTGGTTGAATTTGAAAAGGTGTGAGCAACAATAAACCCTTCAAGGCTTCAGTGAACACACCTACCTTTATGAAACTTCTGAAACCTTCAGAATTGAATTGAAAATCATATTCAATGAGGTTGACAATTTGTTCATACAGTTTTTTTCATTGCAGAATGATTTGATGATAGTGGATCCAATATGTACATTTTTATTTTCCGTTTTGGTTTTGATAACTACTTACGCAATCATAAAAGATGCGTTGATGGTTCTGATGGAAGCATTGCCAAAAGGGATTGACTTTGAAGATGTAATGAATATTCTCCTAAAAATTGAGGGCGTCAAAAAAGTACACAATTTGAGGATCTGGGCACTGAGTTTGGATAAAATTGCCATGTCTGCTCATATCGCTATAAGTAAGTGTATACATTTTCGGTGATAATGTTATGATATATAGTATTTCTAATACCAATTAGTTACAATACTCAGTTACTTATTCTTACAATCATAGCAATTGATCACTCAATGGAAAAGATATCTCAACTGAATTTTTCCACCATGAGTAATTATGAAAAACTTCGAAATTTAAGGTAGTTGATTTCCGAGTCGAAAACTCTAAAATACAATGAAAACACCGAATTCTCGTCAAACATATATCTACAAAATAATAGAAGCCAACAAAATTGCTAGAAAAATAAAAATTATTCTTCGTTATATTCGGATGAGGTGGAATAATCATCGGGTTAAATAACGATCGGATTTATGGAAATTTGCACATAATATTTGTTCTCTTCTTTTATAACGTGGGCCACACAGTTCTTCCACACATCACTATTATCTACTTCATTCACCACTCGCCTTATATTGTCAAGCACTACAGCATTCAAAGTCGGTTACAGATTACATTTCCGCAAGCTTTCTTTCATTGTGGCCCAAACTATTTCAATTGGATTGAACACAAAATTTTTGAAATTACGTTGTTTTATGGTCGCCAGTAATACCTTTTTCGTTAGAATCTTTTCGGGTATTTCCATGTCATGATTTCCCATGAAATCAACAATATCTGCTTTTTTCGTGTTATTGTTTGGTATTGTAGTCAATAACCGAGAATGATTATCTTCGTGGTAATCAGCAGACAAATCTTTTATATTTTTGGTCGACAGAAGCAAAGCGTTAGGTACGAAACCACTTGAACCCCTTGAAGAAGGTGTGTTCAAAGCACAATACTTGGCTTTGTCTACACAGCCATATTTGACAACATCATGGGTGTCAAATCAAGTTTCGTCGAGGTAGATTATATGTCTGCTAGATTCTCGGTAGCTTTTCATTCGCCTCAAATATTCTTGTCAGAGTTGAACAATGCCTGTCGATTCCATTATGACCATCCGATTGTTCAATTTCTTATATTTAAAACCACAAGACAATAAGACACCTCGTAGAGTTTCTAAAGATTTGTAATTGTAATCGGGATAGTCGAGTAATTTATACCAAATCATTTCCAAAGTTGGTACTTAATTTTTTTGGTATATACCATAAATTGTTCGCCGAATCACATCTTTTGTAGCACCATCAATCAACGTTTGCGAATTTTTTATTCCTTTGTTTTCGTTTCATTGCATGGTCAGTGACATCCCCTATTTTAATGACTCGAAGAAATGTCGAACGAGATAGTTTCGTTAATTCGCATATTCTATCACAATAGCATTCTGTGAAGTGTGACAGTTTTCCTTCTTCAAGTATTCATGAATATTTGAAATTACTCGCTGAACTTGAACATGTTAGTCCTTATTTTCAAATTCCGGATCCCTGTCGATTGACACAGATTCCTCACACCACAAAAGGTCTCCAGAAAGCCATATTGATGAAAGTACCCAAAAACACTAAGATTTTCACAAAAATCGGTTTTGAACGATAAGATTGAAACCTTTGGTGTAAAAGTTGAAAAATTTTTCTAGAGATCAATTACCCTAACACCAAACTGATATTTTTGCACTCGACGCGCGTTTCGCTAACAAGATTTTAAAGGTGCAGAAATAACGGTAAAAGAACTTCCCACAGAAGAGAGTCAGGACAAATGTTTCATGTTCGGGATTGATTATGAATTCAAAGATGACTGCAGTATGACCCAAATCAGTAGCATTTCCTAGGTTCAACTTTCGTAAGTTCAATCAGTACACCACTAGTGCAGAGGATTTTCAATAGAAAAATCAAATATTGAAGAAAGTTTTTCACAGCTCAAACACAATTTTAGAAATATTGGTCTTATGCACCAAAACATGCAATCCATAGAAAACAGTCTGCAGAAAATAGAACATTTCTTGGCGAACAATAGTGACGACCATTGTTTATGTGTCACTGAGCATTGGAAATCAAATACTCAACTGGAATGTATTGGAATAGAAAAATTCAATCTAGCAGCATCCCTTTGTCGTAAAGAGAACAAACATGGGGGAAGTGCTATATATTGTAAAAATGAGATAAACTATACAAGTTTAAAGGATATATCTACACTGTCAGTTGAAGGAAATTTCGAATGTTCAGGTGTTGAAATTTCCCTTTCTGATAAAAAATGATATTTCTATCTTTATATAGATCTTGTGGAGGTTTTATGAGTTTATTTTTTGATAAATTTGAATATTTATTAACGAAAGTCAGAAGTGATAATAAATTAGTCTTTATAGCAGGTGATTACAACATTGAACTGAAAGAAAATAATAATGAAAAATCGAAACTATTAGCTCTAGCTAGCTCCTTTGATGTGTATAAAGTTGTTGATGAATATACACGCATAACAAAAACTTCCAAAAGTTGCATTGATAAAATCTTTACAAATTATAGGGATACTTACATTATAAAAGTACTTGATACTCATGCTTCAGATCATACAGCCCAAATGATTACATGTAAACTCAATCTGCGAAACTAAACGAAAGGTACCCACAAAAGATGTTTCACAGAGGAAGCCATAAAAAAATTTGTCGAAAAAATAAATAATGAGGATTGGGCGGAAGTCTATGAAATACAATATGAACAAGTAAACAAACAATGGGTGATGTTCATCAATAAGATTTTCGTAAAAACAAAAAATGTTACTCGAATTATCAATGGAATGGAAATATCAAATACGAATATTTGAAAACAAAAACTGAGTATGATAAGTTGTTAATATCGTCAAAACAGGAAAATTATAAAGAGCGTATAAAAAATTCTGATAACAAAACAAAATGTATGTGGAGTAT